CTTACGAGTAGTGCATTAAGAATATGCATGTATCGCGATATCTCGAATATCGTAGCGACTGAAACATGAGGCTGCCTGGTGCAGCACATTCAGTAGCCCGGGAACATCACAAACGAGATATTCGCAAAACCAAATTAATTTGCGAATGAGTGTTTTCCGCTAAAACACTGATTTGTTGGGGAAGATTTTGATCGCAAGTATGTTCAGTACGGAGAAAAATGCTCCGAAAACCATACCTTACATTGAGCTTTTGAAGAGGTTTCAGGACTACGCAAACGATTAGCGACATTATGGTAGGGAGGCTTATATATATCCAGAGTTCTTCGGAAAGTTGTTCCGAATTAATGGACCTTGAATATGTAATAATTCAAGGTGTGTGCCTCATTAGGCGTCGGTCCCTCAAGTCGTTTTTAGTCTGTATATCGTCCTTCCACCTATTAGGAGAAGCGAGCTGCGTCCCCATGGCGTTCGTTTTAGCCGTTGCACTAGGTTACACTTAAAATTTGGTGGTATTACAAAGAGACCACGCCATCTTACTGACATGGTCACGACGGTTTAGGAAAACTACACTAGTGCTTGATCCCGTTTGCATATGATTAGGTATTTATTATTCTGTGTTTGAAAGGCTGTCCTCTGTAGCCCATAGGGGATTACTTACCCAGCTAAATGATCTCTGATGGTAACAAGAACTACCTGGGCTCAATTGCAATGACTCTAAGTTCATACAATAATGTGGAACTAGACCACTTGTTAAAGAATAGGGATTTCCCAGTGGAATATTTGTGTCCAGTCTGCTTTCACCAGAATACACAACATATTGTCTGGCGTCATATATCTATGAGTCCTTAGAAGATATTGGGAGGGTTCACTGAAATGGCAGATATTCGCATCCCAGCCCATTCGAAAAGCCTCAGGAACAAGAAAAAAATAGTCTCATCATGCTGCTCGGTAATTTCTTGCATTATGAAAGGCTGGAATGTTTTCGCTAAAACACTGATTTGTTGGGGAAGATTTTGATCGCAAGTATGTTCAGTACGGAGAAAAATGCTCCGAAAACCATACCTTACATTGAGCTTTTGAAGAGGTTTCAGGACTACGCAAACGATTAGCGACATTATGGTAGGGAGGCTTATATATATCCAGAGTTCTTCGGAAAGTTGTTCCGAATTAATGGACCTTGAATATGTAATAATTCAAGGTGTGTGCCTCATTAGGCGTCGGTCCCTCAAGTCGTTTTTAGTCTGTATATCGTCCTTCCACCTATTAGGAGAAGCGAGCTGCGTCCCCATGGCGTTCGTTTTAGCCGTTGCACTAGGTTACACTTAAAATTTGGTGGTATTACAAAGAGACCACGCCATCTTACTGACATGGTCACGACGGTTTAGGAAAACTACACTAGTGCTTGATCCCGTTTGCATATGATTAGGTATTTATTATTCTGTGTTTGAAAGGCTGTCCTCTGTAGCCCATAGGGGATTACTTACCCAGCTAAATGATCTCTGATGGTAACAAGAACTACCTGGGCTCAATTGCGATGACTCTAAGTTCATACAATAATGTGGAACTAGACCACTTGTTAAAGAATAGGGATTTCCGAGTGGAATATTTGTGTCCAGTCTGCTTTCACCAGAATACACAACATATTGTCTGGCGTCATATATCTATGAGTCCTTAGAAGATATTGGGAGGGTTCACTGAAATGGCAGATATTCGCATCCCAGCCCATTCGAAAAGCCTCAGGAACAAGAAAAAAATAGTCTCATCATGCTGCTCGGTAATTTCTTGCATTATGAAAGGCTGGAATGTAGACGAAAATACGGAGACGGTCGTCCCAGTTTGCTCTTACTTTAGCTACTCAAATATTATAAGTAGCTTACAACAGCGTTTGGCGTTGCCACCAAAAACTCGCTGCAATGATAGTAACTTACAAAGGTGTTCAATATTTTCACAGGGGAGAAGTCAAGAAATGTCGTCATCCGAACACTAGGTTCGAGTCATTTGCAGAGAAATTGATCAGGGTGTTTCAAAATTAATTAAAAAAAATTGCACGAACATGCACAGTCCAGGAAGTCAAGACCTGGAATGCACGCAAAAACGAGCGACTTGGACAATGTTGGTAGTCTAAAGCAATATAGAGTTTCATTCAATATGCCGAAGAATGTCTTATTTCTACGTACACATTTCTCTCCGGCACCCAGCGGTTTTCATGGAAGTTTTTGTACACGTCAATATGCACGTACCTAGCTAAGTAAGTCGGATTTGATGATTGTGCTGTGTGCGATATCGCAAGCTCTATGTTGGTTCTTGGGTTGCTGTTCCGCCTGCTACCGTATATCATTAGACAAGGTGCCTTGAAATACCCCATAATGGATGTAAAAGAAGACTTATAACCGTATCTACTGAGCGATCACAAGTTTCCGCGAGTTCACGCTTGAAGAATCGTCGTGAGGTGAGAAGCGATGAGCTAAAATGCTCGGTCCAGATTGGCTCACATTGAATCATTAGGGTATACCTTCATTTGTTTCTTAGCCATATCGCGGCATATCCGTCCAATGAACATGATGTCCAGTAATTTACATCGGACCGCCCCCGATTAGTATATCGATAAGTCCGAAACCGCCAGTTTAATTAAACCAGGGGGATTCAACCTGTACTGCTGTACACATGTTTCAATGTCCTCTGTCACGGAACGAATTACGTAAGAGTGACTCCAGTTTGTCTGAGAAATGGCTATTCAGGTCATTGGGCAGTGGTAAGCCTACACGGTTCAGTCTAACCAATGACTAAATCATACTTCACATCATTCAATTGTTATAGTGCAGTCAGCACACATCCGGCAGCGAAACTCGCTGTAGTGGAATAATTATTCAGCTGCCCTTACTTACTGAGCATCGATGCAAAGGATTTCGCAAGTTAGCGCACTTTGCACTGCAGCTTCTACTTTTGGATAGTGTGTAAATTGCAGATAGACCAATTTTTACAAACAGAGAGGACAGGTGGGATCAGCCATATTGTAAAATGTTAGAATTAAGTCAAGAATGTTCTGATATACGACAAGAAATAATTGTTGCGAGTGCTTTAAGGGACGTCAATTCTCATTTCTAGTCATTCTTAACCCACCAGAACAGCGAAACATCGTACCAGTCGCTATTCAACATCATGTGCCGACGTATTACCGTAGGTTTCGATTTCGTGTCTACCGTGTCAGCATCTAACCGTAACGTTAGCCCACTAGCAGCATGTTCATCAGCATAAAAATAAGAATATATACGCAGTAGGAACTTGAATTCCCGACAGACCTGGAAGTCTGATTCTGTTACGTGAGTGTGGAGACCCGTGAAATGAGCAGAAACAATATAAAAGATCGCTGACGGCTCAGTGCATGTTCCAACTAATGAGTGACCAACATTGCTATGTTTCTTTGTTTCTGAAACTTAGGCCATACACTCGCTCAACAGATGCCACAGTTATAAATGATTTCGCCCACTTCTCCAGATATCTTCAGCCGTTGTATAATTGTTATATTTGACACTGGCTGCGCGGACACAAAGAAGATTGTGTGACAGCAGTACGCAACGGACGAGATTCCAAAACTGTTCAGGTGATGTGTGTCCCTGAGTTCCAAAGTGTAAGTTGAAATTAACGGCATATCTCTCTGTTTACTGTTTTAGACGGTTGTCTACGGAGTATCACCTGGTTGTTTCCGATTTTCAAACAAACCGTACATTACTTTTTGTACTACCCATTACTCGACCCCCTCATATTTTGAACGCTGAGAATTCCGCAATTTTAGACCATTGACTCGAACACAGAGGTCTCTCGAAAGCAACTTGTTCACTTCTGTTCACTTGTGAACAGAGCACGTCCAGCTTCCGTGTGACTGAAAAACACTAGTTTACTCCACAGCTATTACGAAGCGACGTGTCATCCTATTCCATTTGTCTTACTCGTAAATAAGCAGTGTGTAAAACCGAAACAGCGCACTGTGCACAGTGCTAATAGATCCGAACACGAAATCGGATTATCGGAGTTCAATACGCACGGTGTATGCAGTAAAACTCTCTTTTGGGCTCACACCTATTTATCCATGACCAAAGCCGGTATGCTCCAATGGCACATCTTGTTTCGAATCTGCCGAGTAAGATCGAATTTTACTTGGTATACGTGATGGATGAATGAAGGCTTAGGAAGGTCTTGCCCACTGTACTAGCTAGACAGCTGTTGAGGAACACGAGTGTTGTACAACAAAACAACCGTGGCCGAATCGCGTAAGAAGCTCTGGAACTAGCGTCCAAAGGACTATATGAGTAACATCGAACACAGATACCTACTGTAAACAAAATGCTCAGCCGTTCATGGCAGCTACCCCAATAGGTCTGGTGAACGAAACTGTGGCAGCTGGGGCTGCTGCGTTTCGGTACATGGTCTTCTAACTGAAAAACTGAAATGATGGTAGGGAAATATAGTGTAGCATTTGCTCGTCTTGTTATGAACGATTTACATCTCTTTCGTGTTCAACTACTCAATGTACCCTACATAATACAAAGTGAGGTAAAACGGTAAAGAGCAGTCCCATGGGTTCCGTTGCGCAGGCTATTGGACAGGAACAAAACATTTCCATCAGCTTCTCGTTGGGATTTTTATTTACTGAACCGCCATCTTCATGAAGCTTGCTAACTGGTAGACTCTCTGTAACAGCTGTTTTTGATAAGGTCATTTACATTTTTGGGGAGATAGAACATTATACGATTAAAAGTGTCTCTTATTGGTGGGTTCGGATGCATTCGTTCTCTCTGTCAGAATAACAGGAGCTGAACAAACACCAAGTAAGACGCCTACATCCACCGAAATACTTTCAATGGGGTTCTAAGGCGAAAATCCGGCTTCGAAAGTTCTCGGAGTAAATCTGACCCCTGTTAGTAGGTACCGTAACTGGCAGACTGATCGACCACTTGTCTTCTATGGAAACCACCACAACAGTTAAAATAAGTTGGTTGGCTCAACGAACTAGACAACCTCACGATAAAAACAAATAAACGTACAGACACCAAGAAGGATTGTTCGCAAATTCCCATGAAAACCAGGATGAAGAAAGATATCACAGGAGCTAAAATGATTCATCTCGGTCAAGATGTAAGCAAGAGCGGACGAAAGCGTCCATAAGCCTGAGAAAATCCATTGACGCATTCCAATCAATATTTTGCGCGTTATCGTGCACCGTATGCCAAACCCATGGGAAAGGAGTCGGGATTAAGTGCAACACAGGAACACCTGGAAAAGCAAGAGCTGAAATGGTTAGAAAACGTCAGAGGGATCAACATCATTCCACAGTCATCAACAGGATGATGCACTCTTGTCATTCAATGAAGCAGTGGTAAGCCACTCAGTGCCTCTGACTTCGTATCAAGAACCAAAAGATGGAAGCTGTTTCTAATGCAATTCGTAAGTGATTCTGGCGAAAGCCTTTCCATATTCAACGCATGGTGACCGGCGGATTTATCCACCTCAAATTCATCCATTGTTAGTGTGTGGGACTTTCAGGTTGAATGTAAAGGTCAGAATGTGCCGAAGGCCATGAAAAACCAAGGGCTTGAACTAAGCGTTTGTTTGGACAGAGGATGAGACCGAAGTTTAGTGAAAACTCCGAGATGGCCGATGCCCACAGGAGGGCGGTCAACCGACCGGGAAACGGTGGACTAAGTGAACTGCTTCTTCATCCAATGAATCAGCCTTCATTTTCATGTAACAAGACGTCATCGACCGTGGATTTACTAGCTACGTTTACATTTCTAGTGTATAGCTTTGTAGCTTCAGGTGGTGAACTTCATTCTAGCAGGCTGAAACGTGGTAGATTTAGGGTGCACCACATCAGCTATGTAGTTTAAAATCCTAAGGTATAGGTGAATGGAGAAATGTGATAATATTCTTGGATAGACGCAATCTTTCAAACAACGTAAAACTCCCGCCCTGTGGACTTATTAAGCACGGATATCATAGTGCTATTCGTGGTCACGGTTCTTTTATTACGGCTACCACTGAGATATCAGAGGAACTTTACTAGCGCTGAAAGACCACTTCCCTAGACCTTTCAGAGACCAACTTTCGGTATTCTTCCACCAGCCACTCTACACAAGTACCATCACTGCAAGGTATGATTGACTCGCTGATATGGTTTTCGTTTTTCGCATTGCTGACAGACATCCTTGTACGAGTAGGAACCCAGACCTTTAGTTCCTCAGGTCCAGTTTCTGGACTCAAAACTAAATCGGCCAAGTTGGGTTTGTTGGTGCACAGATGACGGGTGTATATTCGAGCAGGCGCTCAAAATCGGGGTTGCGGAGCGAATCTGACCAAGCAACCGATGCAACTGAAGCGTTTGGCGCCGTTTGTATGAGGTGAAGAAACATATTTACGTACAAATATATGACAGTACCAGTCCTCTGCGTCTCGACTTCCCTTGTCTAGAATTGGGCAACCTGTCAGTAATTCAGCCCTCGTGCTTCCTTCGGGTGGAATGGCAGGTAGGCACAGAGAGGGTGCCGCGGCTGAATGGTTTTCTTATACCATAGTCCTCTGGCGTAAAATTCGCCCTCTCCTAACGACGATGACTGTGACTGAATTTCGAAAACTCGACAGCAATGATGTGGTGTCGAGATAGCAGGTAGGCCAGAGAGGGTGCCGCGGCTGAATGGTTTTCTTATACCATAGTCCTCTGGCGTAAAATTCGCCCTCTCCTAACGACGATGACTGTGACTGAATTTCGAAAACTCGACAGCAATGATGTGGTGTCGAGATACCGTTCCCACTTCTGCTACATCGATCTGTTTCACAGTAGCTGCACCCCATCCACAGCAACCACATGCTTGATTGCTTTGTGACTTTAGCACGATATGCGCGCCAGTTGATCTTATGACACTTGTGTACAAAAATGCCACCACACATTGTCGCTCGAATGGTGGAACCAACGCATGTGATGGGTTACACTTACATGCTCTGCTGGCCAACAGGACATTAATTAACCTAGTGTTCAGTTGGCGACCTGCAGCCACGCCCTCATCAACACTGCATGTATATGAATGATAAACTTAACGTTAAATATAGGCGTCAGTTTTGGCTCGGCAAATACAGTTCCAGTTTGTTTACTCTCACTTAATTTCGGAGTAGGGCGAATGGAGCCGGACGATAGAGGAAAATTAGATTGTGCGCTTGTTGCAAGTCCAAAGCGGCGTACGCACAGAACGGTCCGATTCACATACTGATGAAACGGAAGAGTAAAAAACGGTTGGACAGCGGGTATCCGTAATGTGTGAAGGGTTGCCAAAATTGTGTTGTTGCCGTACTCTAACCAGAAATATTCCGATAACCATTTGATTAAAAGGAATTTGAAATACCATAGTTAAGTAACATGTTTGGCTTCATAGAAAGTAAGGTAACAGATGGAACTATTGTCCTCCTACGAATAAGGACCACCATCTGGAGGTCGACAGAGTTCGTTTTTCATTTGAGGTAGTCAACCTAAAGAGGAAGTACTGCATTTCGGTGTGATGGTGTCTGTTCCAGCCAACTATCACACTGCATACATACTGTAGACCAAAACTGGTACGCGAAGACTCGCACCGACGTTGTGACTTACTGCCTATATACCTGAAGTCTAAGCTTGTAAACAGCGGTCATCGTACCTAGAGACTTCCTGACTTGTCCTCTTTGCTCCATACTTCATCACACTTTTAGGGCTTTGAAATGTTTTAATATGCTATCCTCAAAAAGACTAACAGTGCTCCAGAAAGTTCCATTAAAAATCGCCTCATCAGTTTCTGATACGGACTCCTATCTCTACAGCGTCCATCTGAACTTCAAAAAGTTTAGGATTTTGTTACTGATGATGGCGGACTGCCCTGCTCAAGTATCCCCTATAGTCCCCACTACCGCAGATGTAGTCAACCATTGAGTAAATACAGTCTGACTCGCTGCCTCGTACATTCCTGTACAAATATGGAGTGCGTACCAATGTACATCCATTTCTAATTAAGCAACAAGATCAACGTCTACGACGAATTAAACATTCATTCGATGAGCTGAAAAGGAAGTAACTTTCATTCATTGTGGAGAAGATTACACCACTAACCAACTTTAGCCGACCGGAGAACGAAAATGTCGCTGTAATACCTGGCTCGGTGAATATCCGCAAAATATGGATGACGCAGAATGAAAATGACCTCTTGACTAAGCCAACAATGTCACGGTAGAGACGCTGCGCTAATTTTGTCAGGAACATCATAGAGCGATATTCCTAGGTATGGCCTTCTATCCAATCATGTGCTGAATGGAAACAATGTAAGGACAATGATGTGGTGACCTAGCGGAGGAGCACGAGAGCTATGACCAGCAAACGCGATCAGACTGACAGCCGTGACCTCTATTGGGCGGTTCTTGAAATGGGGTCCATTATAAGTAGGACACATCAACAAACTTGATCCAATGATTCACCAAATGACGTTTCTGCTGCCTAAAACTGATAGCCATCCTGTTTCTCCTATCGACCTCAAGTCTGCTGCCAAAAATGAACAGCTTCCACTTTCTCAGCACATCATGGTCGGTGAACAAAAAAGGGGCACTGAAACCCCCACACGACTCACACTGGATTAAGTTCGGTGATGGTGGACATCAACCTGTTGATAAAAACCACTCCGTTTAAAGAGGAGTGGACTGCTTGTACACTCACCCAACTCGAAAAATGGTACATGATCATCTTCAACGCGATGCCCAAGTGTGCCTCGAAAATATTGATGCCCGGATGTCCGGTAAGAATGAAGTAGGTTTTCCCTGGCGAAACGTTGTTCTAAAAAGAATATAGGGTCAAAATTTAGCATTCCAAAAAGTCGAAGAAAATAACAAGAGATTTATGGAGTATTCTCAAATTATTCACTAGAAAAAGGTAGAAGAGGTGAACCAACAGTAGAGGCCAAATCCAGAATCCGATGGTTTAGGGTCTGTCTTGCAACAAGTCGTTCAGGAAACGTCAGATGTAAGGAATCTCCACGAACCTCAACCTCCTTCGGCCTATCACTTCGTAGGATATTCGCACCCCCTGGTATGTTGCCTGTTATCCCAGCTCACTATTACACATTAGATACAGTGCAACGCCTGCTGTGAAAGCATAAAGAGAACTTTCAGGTCAAACTTCGAGACCCAAACAAACTGAATAGAAACGGACAGCAAAATATCACTACCATACTCTTGTAGATATACGTTCTAGCGTGCCTCACCACTCACAGAGTCCCAACTAATCACAACCTATTTGATGCACACTAGTCGCACCTCTGTTCGTGTCACCTCAAATTGGAAAAGGAAAACAACTTTCCTTGCCAGACACCAACAGGATAAGCACAGACGAGTGAGTCATTGCAGTTTGTAATCCGATTTCAGTTCAATCTATCAGCTATAAACCATGTGCCATTGGCACATTGAATAGTGTGAGACATACAGCCAAGACTTAGACGCGATGTCTTGTTCGGTTAGTTTGGGAACTGGGTAGCTGCAGATGGAAGGCGATAACTCTGATGCATGAGCGCCATTGACTGCGCGATTGGACCATTTCCGCCAGTTTCATTAACTATTGGTGAGTTGATTTCCAGGATTCCCATCCAGTGAGGTGGCAGGTGTCGACCGGAGTTAGTTTACCGGTTAGTGTTTTCATGTTTCGTTTCTAGGTCATACACTGTATAACCCTCAGTCGCTTCCACTGAGCACAGGGCTGAGTGAAATAAAGCTCTGTGAGACGGACGGTCTTCTGGCAAGCGGAGTGCATGTTCTAATCAGGGTAATCTATGAACCGTGAGTAATGCTCCTATCGCGGGAGAGTTCCTTCTTCCTAAGACCGTCTGGCGTACCTCAACATTGCTAATCCGATGTTCCCACCAGACCTGACCAATGCTTCAGAGGCACCAATGGTCAAAAACACATTTTTCGCATGTTCTGCGGACGTATAGATCACGTTTCTTATCAATAAAGCAGTATGGATCGCACCGCCGCAGCGTAGACTCTGCCGTTGACAAAATCGCGTCATGTCGGTGCCTTAGGTGCCATAGGTTGGTAATAGAGGACCTGGCTTTCCCGATTCGACAAATAATCAGTCCACCGGAACATATCTAACTAATTAGATAAACAAATTTACCCATCACGTGGATTGGCTAGCCTGCATGAAGTTTGGGTTTGATCCCACCCAGCCTTGTAGCAGCACTTTACACTTGGCAGGTGTGAAGTGTATGCTAAATCGTGCGGCAGTTATTCAGGTTATTTGAAATCGTCTGCACTTGGGAAGGATCTGAGCCAAAGAGAGCAATATCTTCTGCATACTCAATGTCTGTGAGGAAACGCCCCGGGATCATTTCGACTCCCGAGGTTTCAGAGACAGGCAGATAAACTTCAAGCAGCACATCAACAAAGAAAGAGGAAACGTGAGAGAGGGTGGCCTTGTCTTACACTACTGGACGTGGTGAACTCAGGCAAAAACTTGTCGGATACTCGTATGGGCCCACAGGAGTTCGCATACAGTGTAAATTCGGAGGAGACACTTTCGATCGCTAGACACCGCCAAAGTTTCTGACGATCAACAGAATCAAAAGAAGATTTCAGATCCAGAAAAATTACTAACGTGGGACGTCTGAAGGAATGGTGCTGTTCAAGGATTTGTCTCAAGGTAAAGATATGGTTGATGCATGCTCGGCAAGGACAAAACCCAGCTTCGTTCTCATGAATCTATCGGTTCCAATAAACGATCAACCTGCGCGAAATAATGTCAGGGAGCACCTGAGATGTGATGAATACCATGCTGATTGCACGATAGTTTTCACATGACGTTCTCGCTCTGTTTTATAAAACTGGGATGACAGTCGAGGGGCTCCATTCGACTCGAAATCTGTACCATGTTCGTCGGATGGTTTACCAGGACCTCGCCACCTTTTTTGAAGAGTGCGGGGTGCAGACCGTCAGCACCAGGTGCCCCGTAGCGCTTGAGGATTGATGTCTTACACTGATGGGGAGGTGATGTCAATGTTCCATTCGGGCTCGCTTGGTTCTCCCAGCGGTTGTGTTGAAGGACCAGCTTTGATTATTTTCCATCTCCTCTTGATGCAAAGCCACGAGGACCACTACCAAAATATTTTTCCGCTCTGTCACGCTGAAATAGTTGACAAAACAAACAGCGGAATCACCTAAATTGTGTCCGAATCATTCCTGGCCGCGGTGCAATCGTGCTCAAGATGATAATATAGGTGACAACTTTACGTGAGAATCTGCAGTACGTTTCATTTGATGTAGTATTGTCTCAGGTTGTTGATGGTACAAAATGCTTCATTGCGATTCAACATTTCCCAACAATCAAATGGGTGCTAAAGTCCATTTCCAATCTTACTCAGTGTTTCAGAAGGTCCCCATGGAGCGAGATTATGTAATGTTCGTTGGAGATTACTGGTGTGTAGTATTACGTGCCACTCTGAAACACGCGTACAAAAATGAGTAACTCGAACAATTTCGTCAACGTTCAGAGTGGAACCAAAAACTAGAGTGAATGCGGGAAATCAATGTATCGAAATAAGTTTCATGCGCTTCGAATGAACACAACTGGCACAGATCACCCGATTAAATGACAGGTAAATAGTACAGTTTCAAGAAAGGTGAGCAACAATCAATTACTCCGGAGCAATGGACCACCACAACTAATAGTTGGAACATGATCACCCTCACATACGCAGGTTGCAAAACTGCACATTGATTTTTCGACGGACGACATTTATGAGACTTCCTGTCGTATGAACATGGTGAGCTATGGTGTGTACCTTCCGAAATGCGCCAGTCTTCCATCCAAGGACCGATCATCATGTGCACGCATTAAGTACAATGGGGACTGCGTACAGGCTCAGTCTGGCGTTCCTACAATATAGTTGGTGTCCGACAACAAAAACACTAGTAGATAGTGATGCACCACTCACAAGGTTGCTGAAAATTCGTCAACAGCCCACGACCGGTTTCGTCCATCTTGGGGCTCATCGGGTAGGTTCTACTTGTTCTAATTGAAATCAAATTGCACGAAATTAGCGAAATACACTCATTTGCAAACTAATTTGATTTTTCGAGACTCACTTGGAACCCAGCTGAATCTCTCGTTTGTGAATTTAATACACCAGGCCGCTTCATGTTTCAGTCGCTACGATATTCGAGATATTGCGATACATGTATATTTGTAATGCACTACTCGTAAGGTTTATGAAAATTTATCGACAGCCCACAGCCGGTTTCGCCCTTCTTGAGACTCATTAGGTAGGCGCAGTCCCCGCGACGTGTTCCGTAGAAATGGTAATGCTTTTGCATTTCCCACCAAACACCGCTGCCTTCCGGTTAGGCTTTCGAGCCAAAGGCTTTGTTTGAGGGCCTTAATCGTCCTCCCCTCTAGGTGTGGGCGCCCACGTACAACCATGAAATGCACATATACAAGTAAACTCATGCCGCATCGGCCGTTGCGTGGTGCCATCAGTCGAGTTGCCTTACTCGCTGCATACAGCAGGGCGGGCGGGCCATTGCTGACGCCTTCATTATTTCCCTTTCACATACATCTCCTTCCCCCTCTCCCCATCTCATTATTAACTCTCCTGTTCTGGGCCCAGAACTTAGGACTAATGAAACCGTTCGTCTTGCATCGGTTTTGCGTGCAGCATCTGCTCGTCACATGGCGTCGACATCCTCAGGTATCTCAAAATCAATCTTCAAGCTTCGACACAATCTATCTGGCCGCGTTGAATGTTCGCACTCTGAAGCAAGCAGAACAACAAGCTGCTCGTGCTCTCACACTGGACTCGCTTGGCATTAATGTGTGATGTGTTAGAAACAAGAATTCAGGCACAGTAATTGGGCTAACTACCCTATCACTTTCCACTTGCTTCCGGCTACGCACCTCTGGTGATCCAGAGGCTGCTGCAGCGGGATGTGCAGGGGTTGGTATCGTCCTAAGTCACCGGGTAGAAGCATCCTTGCTTGGCTGGATACCTGTTGATACTAACCGCTGTGCGGTTCGGCTGACAACGTCTGTGAAGCAATCTCATATGTGGTAAATTGATGTTTGTTTATCGTGTTTGCCTACGCCAAAATTACCGTAGCTTCGACGCCGTCAAAGACAGATTTCACGAAGCTATGAATGCCCTGCTGCGGCGAGTTAAAGCTCAGATATCGTGGGAGCTGCCGGAGATTTGAATGCACAAGTGGACAAGATTAGCGTATCTGAGACTCAATTAGGAGGTCGACATGCATTGGGCTCGGTACGTACAGACAATAGAGAAGGATTGCTTCAGCTGTGTGATGATCGCAGGCTGCTTTTAATGCAGTACTAACTTCCAAAACAGCAGAATTCGTCTGGCCACATAGTGTCCTTCAACGACAGACCGGCCACAAACTCGAATCCACCACATTGATATCAGTTACCGATGGCATCATCATCAACATCATTGTCAGCTGTAATAACCGCGTACTCGTCGTACAGTGGTTGTAGCTGCCGCAGTTTCGTTCACCGATGTTTTGGGGCGGATAGGTACAGTGGGCTGTCAAGTGGGGGGGGAGCCATTGATGTGGTCCGTCTCGGGGTCCCCATCCAGGAAGACGGCAGTGACCAGCGCAGCTGAGTTTGTTGGTAATTGCTTTCATACTTCGCTGCCAAGTCATCGTTTGACCGCCTCTGGCTCTCTTCCACCATTCACGTGGTTGGGCGAAAAGAGCCCTTCGAGGAAGTCAGTCGACTGGCATACGCAACACGTGGCCAAGCCAGCGCAACCTATGCAGTGTGATCGGTTCATCTATCGAGGGTGAGTTATTTCTCCCGAATACCATTCGACGTACTTCAGAATTGCTGATCCGGTGTTCCCACCAGATTCGGGCAATGCTCCGAAGACATTGATGGTCAAACACTGAAAGTCTTTTGACGTCCTCGGCGCGCAGAGGCCAGGTTTCTGATCTATATAGTAATATGGAGCGCACCGCAGCATTGTAAACTCGACCCTTGACAGAGAAGCTGATGTCACGCCTACCCCACAGGTGACGTAGGTTCGCAAAACCTGCTCTGGCCTTCCCAATCCGGATGGAAATTTCATCTTTCGTGAGACCACCGAGACTGACACAGCTGCCCAGGTAAACAAATTTACCTGCTACCTCAATCGGTTCATCCGCAAGCACGAGGCTAGGGTTCGAGCCCATCCAATCTTGCAGTAGCACGATGGCGCGAATCAATAACTGGCTGCCGGTCGCTTTGGAACACATTTCTGGATTCCGACCACGCGCTAGTCGCTTCTCTCTACGTTTTCCAGGGCCGCGTAAGGTGCGGACAAATCGCTGGGCAACTGAGAGCCTGGCAGGTTCGGATGCCAGACGAATTTAACAGAATCGTCTTCTGGAGTCTCTCCCAAAGATTCCATTATCAGACGAGAACTCAGACTGGGACGATACTGCCACCTCTTTGCAGTGCTGGGAATTATGGCTGTGGCGCGGCACTATCAGGCACTGGATATCAGCCCAAACGGTGACACATCCTAAATCACGGAGAAATATCCCAGCAGGTCTCAAATATAACTTGAGGCGACGTCAAGTGACGGTGAGCGTATACCTGGACTGTGAAGTCTGTTGGACACGGAAGGCTAAGGAAATGGGAGAGGCCCAGAAAGCCGGTAATGCCCAAAGATTAGTTCAGTTGATCCGTGCGACCGGATCCCGGAAACCAATTGTGAGCGAAATAATCAAAGATCACAAAGGAGTGATCAACTCAAATAAGCAAGAACGTATCGATCGATGGGCTGAATACTTCGAACAATTGTCATGGCCATCAGCTGGCACCCATCTGGAGCCCACAGGTGACGTAGAACCACCTACAGTTTACGACTGCATATGTTCTCTCAAGCTTCACCGAGCTTCTGGTCCGAATGACCACCTAACCGCTTTGTTCAAAAATGGGGGTGAATTCTTCAGTCAGCGCTCGTCTGATCCGTTCGCTTGCATTTGGGAGAGGGAATCTGTCCCAGATAACTGAAGAGAGTCAGTGATAGCACCCATTTAAAAAAAGGTCTCTTAGTGAGTGTGACAACCACTAGTCGTAACTAGACTGTTGGCGTCACCGCCGCTTCGTCACCTTATGGTGGCTTGTGAAACACCGACTCGAGAGCAACAAGCTGGATTCCGGCCTGGTAGGGTCTGCGTTGACCAAATCTTTACACTCCATCAGGTGCTAGAACAACGTCGAACGTACTCTGGAAAAGGTGCCCCGGTCGCCCAGATTTAAAACCACCTTCTATGCATGTCACCCCATACTCCACGTTAGCTGTCAACAGTCACGGCCGTTGATTTGGACACCTGCAACGTGTGTATTGCCATTAGTTGAACACAACCTAGGATGAGAATTCCAAAGTATCATTGCTGGTGACAGGGATAACCAAGACTATTGCAGGACGCCTATACATGCATAGACGTCGCACCCTTTCGAGGCATAACCGCCATACAACTCGAAGGAACCACAACGGCTGAGATACTGCCGGGTTGCAGAAAACTTTCAGAACGTTCAGAACAATCCGTGGAGTCCATGAGCCCGAAAACGGATCGGATCCTATAGAAATCAACGAATAACTTAAAAATTCCGCAGAAATTGAAGGTAAGGAGCAATCTATCACGAAAATCACAACCAACCAAGCCAGAAAGTAGGCTAAATGATGAGAAAGCCGTCATAATAATGGAAAAAATACCGCGAAAATACCACTGAAACGGTGTGCGACTTTGGCCGGCCCAGAGGTTGCGTGTTCTTCGAGTGGAGCACTGTGAATAGCCCATCAGGAAAGGCATCCCAGCACGTGAACATCTCGGATCACTGGACGAAAGATACTATGTGCGTTACTTAACGACTCAAAACTGGTTGCACCATATACGGCAACTTTTATACCCCTGTGGCATCCTCAAAAAGGGCGTTCGGCAAGTCCCGTCTTGTAACACGAAATAAATGCAGTCAAGAACGAATGAACAGCTACATGTTTTTGGTAATATATCCGGAATTCGTCGGGTCAGACTGTGAACGATCAATGCTCACAAGCATTGGTGATAGGAACCACCAGAAAGTGCTAGCCTGGGGCATCTACGAAAACCACTCACCCAAAGTTACGAGGTGATCATACATGTCTTTGGTTCCATTCGGATAAGAGGGTATGGTCATCCCCGTGAATCCAATAAGATCTAGAAGAACAAACAGTTTCTGTGGTCACAAGCAAGAAGTAATGTAAAAAGACGCATGTGAAATATGTAGGGTACAGAGTGCAAGTGGGAGAAAAACTTGCAATTTTCGACAATTTCCGGCTTCCGTCGGGACCGGGTTGATTCCACACTGCGGCTAAATGTCGGGAACCGTAAAGGGAATCTTGGTCAGTCCAATCGCGAAATGCTTCCTCACCATCAAAAAATATCATTCGGAGTGAGTAGGGATGATTCTGTTGGAAGAGAAACAAAAAACATCAACTGCTAGCCCCAGTAAGACATTTTGTTCCACTTCTGAGTGCGCGCGAGATCTACAGAATACAACTGACAGTTATCTGCTAACTATCTACCCAGGGCATGTAGACCCGGAATGAAAATGGCCATAAGCAGAGTCCCACGTCGAAAAAAGACGAGAAAACACACATGGACACGTAAACAGCCAACCGAGTGGAGTTGCATATCGGAGTCAATGATGTCGGAACGATGACAATCTGTCTCTTCACAGAGAAAGACCTTGAACAAACAACAAGGCGGCTACCTAAAGGGATATCTGAACACACTCCAAGCATTGAAAGGAACGGTCCGAAACGGTCACTTTTATAGCACAGCAGTAGCATGGTATGCATGGTCTAACGAAAGACAGTACGTACACAGGTCAAGCCAGGATATTCATGGTGGGAAAAAGCACCAATGGATAGTGTTGCCTGTTGAAATCAAGCTGCACTGAATTCAGAAGACTAAGGTTAACCGGTCGCGTACAGAAAAGCAAGAGAGAGCACAAAACAAAAGCCAGAATCAGAATCAAAAACAAATAGAAGCATCCTTCGAAAAAGAGACGAGAAGCGATACAGGAACTCAATAGGCGTGAACGTGACCGGGTAAAAAGAATTAGTCGGAAATTCCTATTTTCGAGTGCCAAGGATCTGATTTGGTTGACATGGATTTGAGGGAGAGCAGAGTACTACTGAATAGCGACAAACCAGCTAACTTACGCGCTGACTTTGATAAAGCGGAGTTATTGACTCGGCAACCTTCATCAAAATCGCACAAGGCATTGCAGAGTCCACGGATCCATAGAATCCTGGAATAGATTTGGAATCGTAGTGGCATGCAAGTATCAGGAAATCAAGCTCAGGTGGGCCCAAGGAGACAATTATGTTTCGGAATGTCTTCCGACCAATCACTGTATTCATCGTGAAACTGTCCCACTCAATGACCCAGCCGAGTGATTGGAAATGATTGGAGATGTACTGCAATAGTAATGACGAAGCAATCTATAAAGGGTAACGACAAACCTGTCCAACGGCACGGTGTGATTCCGAATCAACTTGTCTAATCACGTTGACCCTGTAAAAGATGTCTCTCAATTGCTCAATGGTGTGGCTGTCGTGGACCAACTGGAGGGACTGATTCGAAAGCGGAGCTACATTCACCGTATTCTGGGATGAAGCGGGAGGGCAAAAGGCGAATACTCATTGAAATAAGGGAAGAAAAAACAGCAAATTCTGGAGTGCAGAAACAGCAAACGCTGTGGTAATTCCCAAGTATAAGGTGACGTCTCGTAATATATACAAGGATAATCCATCTTCAAAGATAAAATGTCATTCAAGGAGCTCAGAATACGAATATAACAGATAACAGTTTGGTTAGAAATGTGGTCAAATGATGTGATGCGAAGATGATAAAAGTTCCACGTATGGTGAATGCCAAATAACGAAACGACGGAGGGCAAGAACTTGGGAAGATAATTTGGGGGAAGATGCCAGTTATATCATAGAGGTGGAAGATAGGTCTTAGAAAAATCAGATCGGTAAGATTTTCGTCTTGAATGGGACGTGCCAGATGAATTTAAAATCACTTTGGTTAACGCTTTTCACGCGTTTGTTCTTGTAAAACGCCACCCGAAATAATTGACGTAGTGCATAGATATACACTAAAAATACCTTCAGAAAACCCCTCAAGAAACACCTTAATCAAATAGATGATTTTAGAGACTGTTGCCGTTTCGTTCAAAATAATACACTTATCAGAACTAAAGAAAAAGGCTTTCTGTTTTCCAAGTGGCCGATCTATTCCTTTTCAGAAGATGGAACAGTGGAAATGTTCAGTAAAACTGGCAGGACTTTAAGCGAATGCCACTCCAAAGAGTTTCTTATAAGCACAGGTGATACACTAAACTTCCGTATTAATGAAGACTTTTCGGCAGAAATTGAGTTATCTGATAAGCTGGTTTTCGATACACAAATAACATAACCCGTCGGAATAGTTCACACGTAAAGTATTCACTAAAAGCAACAGGGCGAAAGGGTATGAATCGACGCGGGATAACTCAACTTTCACCCGATTCCCGATAATTCATTGTTTTTGCTGATTGTGAGAATGCGCCTCCATGGAAACCAATCGTGTTCAGTCGTCCCTACTTGGGTTCAATCGACCATCAGTTTTTTATTACCATTATAAGGGCTCAAGTTCGCATATGAAGTACCGTGAGTACCGAAAAATCGAGTTGTCCAGTTGAGGTAACTTCCTGGTGCTTAGCTGGCATGCACCTTAAGGACTACAGTGCACTAAGATGAAGTGATTCACAACGAATCCCCAGTTGGACCGAATATTTTCTGTCAGTACTCAAGACGCTTCCGAAGGAAGGCCTACGGGTGGTCACCAGGACCAAGCACCCGCCAGAAACGAATGCTGAGCGGGATGCTAAGGCTACTACTATGAGTAGCACTAACAAATTATGGAATTTGGTGGCATGGCATTTCGTGCAATAATTTATCGTCTAACGCCTTGGAGCTGTGGAACAAGAGATATCAAAATGATTTGCACCACTGATCAATGTGTTATAATTGAAGGTGAAGCAGCCGGTGAGTTAAACTGGATAATTGTGGCCAATTACCAACAGCTCGATTACCAATGAAACTGTTTTACACACAGGTTTCAACCTAGCTTAGTAATAGATTAGACCGTATTTCGTCCAAATTCTATCTTGGCACATTAAACAGACAACAGCGCTATAGGAATGCGAGTCAGTGAATTAGATAACATACCTTATCCACGACACTCTGGCTTCCAATCCAGGCTAGCTGGAGGAAATTGAAAACCAGGGAAATGCAGGAATAGTAATCAAACATGGTTCTGAAAACAGAAGCAGTGAAAACGGTTATAGATGGCCTGAGAAGGGAAGCATCCCGCATTCCAGGTCGCATATTTGCCAAAAGTTTATGTACACCGATCAAACGCCAGTACACCCGGTAACCTGAATTGTAGGTTCGCGAGAATATATCAAGCACCGTCGGTCATGCAACGCAGCTGACATGTTTGCTGAACTCCTATCAGAACCTCGCCATTTCAGATGCGCACACTCGAGTTACTATCGCTAGGACAAGCCAAAGCAGCATGTGCTTTGATCGAAACCGCTATACCAGGCATGGTTTCAGTTGACTCACGTGGAAGGAACTGCCACTCTTCCGAGCTTCGCACTCTCATTGGCAGTCGCCGTTCCACGGATCATGTACAAGAGATAGTCGACTTTGCAGATCACGATTGTCTCTAATGCTCAGACCTAAACTCGGTCAGAAATCATTCTATGTTGTGACAACTAAGTGACTGTATGTTCTATGTTGTTTACTGTTTAACGTCGTAAGTGATGGTGATCAGTGCAGATTCGAACATCCTTAGTGTTAGTATATTCGATCATCTTGGGAGTCTACTGGGTGACCCAGAATTTCTATCCAATTTTATTTTTTATTCAACGACTACACTTATATCTTGAATTTTTGTGTCTGACTCGAAGCACACATCAATTCTAAACAATTCGAGTGTGAGCTGAAACAACTTTTTGTCCTGCTTGCTCCGGATTACGCTTACCAAAGGCGGTCAGGTTAAGCAGACGTCAACGTTTGAGAATTTATTTCGAGATGTATGGAGGTATCAGCGTTGGCTGATACGAAGACGTTTCACCCAAGACCGATGCAAGACTAACGGGGTCGTCAGTCTTAATGGTTGGGCCTACAAATGAAGAATTACTAATGGAGTGGGGGATGAAGAAAAAGCATGTGAAAGAGAACGAGGCGAGGCTTCAACAGGAGCCTGTCGCGATGATCCGACCTGCTGTATGCAGCAAGGTAACCCGGCTAATGACACCACACGATGGCCGATGTGGCATGACAGTAATTTTAATTGTAGGAATCATGGTTGTAAATGGGCTGGGGTACTGTAATAGCGCCCAGACCAAGACAACAGCACGATTAGCTGTTTGATAGGAAATGCTAGTGCATTACATTTTTGAAAGAGTAAGCCGGCAAATACATTCCAACTGAAAACCTAGATGGCTAGGATGCTATGTTGGTGTGATCTGTAGAAAACCGTTCAACAGTGACACTAGTTCGGTGCCTAGCTGCCACGCCACATGAAGGAGGAATGAGGACTGGGATGCTGCCAGTTTGCCCAAACCCAGACTGGAGAAGTCAAGACGCAGAGGTCGGCTTCGAACTTCAGATCTTCCGGTCACTAAATTCACGTTCTAATCACTGGTCATGGCATGAGTCCGCAAGTGTCCCGCGGGCACCATCTAACTTAGTTCAATGAGTCTCGGAAGCGCACAGACTGTCTTCGTGACGGTATGAGTACTGTCACAAGTAGTGGATGAGGCAGGAGAACCATAAGTTTAGCTTTAAAGCAGGTCAGCTCAATTACAGCATAACCGTGATCACACGATAAGAAGTAGCAATTCACAAGTCTGCACAGAACAGTTACGGCAGTCAATGCTGAGGACCTGTGAAAATATAAGAGGGTAAACAGAAACAGTGGAGAGCAGAAAAACGTCATAAGGACCGCCGAAACGTAAGAGGAAAAGGAGTAAGTCACCAGGAGTAAAAAACAGAGGGGATCGCAGTTCACAGTACACCCCACCTCAATGTGTGTAGTAACGGTACTTTCCTCAGCTTAGTTCGCCCAAAACGAGGAACAGTTGTTCAGCGCTTCGTATATATAGCGTAAGCGGCTATAACTTTCTGGAATTTCTGACGCGTTCTGGATGCGGTGCGGCCAACCGGCATT